TGAAGTCCGCTCATCTTAAAGTGGCCAAGTTTGGACAACACTGGCCTAAGAGGTCCGTGCTGCAGTAGCAGAGCATTCCTGTTTCCAACTCCAACCTATTTCAGGCAAAGAAAGCACATATGTTTCTGAAGGGAGGTTCACTTAACATACTGCTTGCAGCTAAGCCAAGCTCTTGCAGGAGAGGGAATTCAAAGTCAGCTAAGGTGAAGAAAATTCCTGTCTCCCCCCCCTCCCCATCATATGGTCATTTGTTGCCCAAGCCTTAAGGAAACCTTCATCAGCCTCTCCCAAAGGAAATATAATGAGAGGCTTCGATCAAAAGCTCCTACCCTGATTTTTGTGGATACAGGGAACGTGACCGTGCTGTTAATGCAAACTGAGAAGACCAGTTTGGGAAAGGTATTTTAAAGGGATGGGGGTTTTTTGAATGGTTTTATACGTATAAAATCAAATCAAAGTCTTGCTTACATTTGTTTGTTCTGTTCTGAGAAATTGCACTTCTGCAACTGGGCAGTTAATTGCCAATTTTGGGCAATATAACGGGGGGGCTACAAAGAGTTTGGGATGGGGAGTAGTTTGCTGTCCACTGTCACATTAGGGACTGCCAGGCAGGTGTAATCCCTAATGGGCAAAGGATGTTGGGAAAAATCACTGGGGAATCACCACATTATCAATGTTGTTTGAACTTCAGTTTCCCAGTATTCTCAGCATGGGCATGTTTACTGTGGAATTCTAGGAGTTAAAGTCTACATATCTGGAGGTCATTCAAGTTGAGGAAAGCTGTTGTATCCTTACTCCTTGAGCCACAAAGGAGTGAGTAGGGCCAGGAGAGGTTACCGGGTATTCTGCTCGTAGCACTGGGCTGGTTGCTTTTGGTTACTGCTTTCAATCATCTTCCAGATTTCTGCAAACTGGAGGGCATGCGGCTGTTGGCACACCGATACCTGGAACATGAAGAGCAGGAGCTGCGCTGGCGAGCTGCCCATCTGGTGGGCACCTGTGCCCAGAATGTGCCCAAGGTTCAAGAGCAGGCCCTGGCGCTAGGCTGCATGAGGAAGCTGCTGAGGCTGCTGGACCATGACCCCAGCGAGGCTGTTCGGATCAAGGCACTCTTTGCTATTTCTTGTGAGTGGGAAACAGTGGCTGCTCGGTGAATGGAGAGCACACCCGAACATGATATGGGAGATTTCTCCCAGTATTACTGTTAGCTGTGCCACAGGAAAAAAGCAGTCTAGTGTTTTTATTTTCGTAGCAGATAAAGCAACAGGACCATTTATGATGGGGAAAATGGTGCCAGGGTGGAGGTGGATTCAGTGCTTCCACAGCACCACTTTCCTGATCAGATATGAGGCCATCCAACTGTTCTGACTTTTTAACAAGTTTAGGGTTGTTATCACCGTTTTCTTATTTTACAAAGGAAGAAAATCTTTGCTCACCACTTGGGATGTTAACAGCTCTGGGGTCCTCCTACACATGAGTGCGATCTGATGTCATTGAGTTATTTACTTTAAGGGTAACAAGCCCTTTGACATTTTGCATTTCCACTCCTGCGAGTTCTAGCCAGCATAATAGCAGCAAGGGGCTGTGAGAGCTGCAGTTCAAAACATCACCTGTACATAACAGCTTCCTTAGCTTAATGCTTGGTTTTCTGTTTTGTTTTTGTTTTTCTTTCGAAGAGACTGTCAAAAGCAGCTAACAGCATTCCAAAAACATACAGTATGCAGCAAAAATAAAAGCACCACTCAGTCAGTCAGTGAGAATTCTGCTGTTGATTGAATTGATTGAACTGAATTGATTGAATTGTCTGTTGTGCTATGTTTGAGTAGAATCACAGAGTGGTGTGATATTATGATACCCTGGCCAATTGGAGTTTTCTTGAAACAATGAATCAGTAAATGCCTGGAGCAAACTTTGAATGTGCGGCTCAGGAACCCAAATTTGTCTTTTGAAATTCACATTTGTGACTGAATTGATATTAGACGTTGGAGGTTAATCCAGCAATAAAACTGATTGCAGCAACTGTGGCCTGATCTCAGGGTGATGGTGAGAATTAAATGGGCCAATGGAGGGCTCATCAGGATTGATATTGAGGTTTCTGTTAATTGTAACAGTGTCGTGGGCTTTTTGGCATTTAATGGATGTTTTAATTTAATTTAATGGATGTTGTAAGATATGGTTATTGAGCCTGACTCTTGGGTAATAGTATTCTCATTTTTGGTTGTGCTGTCGGGATGACATAAGCGGATGGGATGTGGATCTGGAAATCTTGGTCCATCATTGTCTAGGAAGCTGAACTGATTGTTCAGTTTGCATTTTCTCACTCTCATCCTTCTTTCTTCATATTTCCTTGTGCTGCCAGGCTTAGTAAGAGCCCAGGAAGCTGGACTACAGCAATTCCTTCGCCTTGACGGGTTCTCTGTACTCATGAGGGCCATGCAGAGTAACATACAGAAATTGAAAGTGAAATCTGCCTTCCTCCTCCAGAATCTTCTCATAAACCACCCAGAGCAGAAAGGTGAGAGTCTTTTTTTATTGGGGTATGTGCAAGAAAGAACCGAGAGGGAGTTGCTCTCCTTAGAGGGGTTTTGCTGGGTGTCTGGTTGACTTTCTCCCACTTCATCTTAGGAATCATGCAAGTCTAACCAATGTTTAAAATAAATATTTAATTCTTTATTATCTCTCTTGTGGTCTCCTTATCCTACCTCTCTGAAAACTCTTGGCTTTGCTGGTCTGTCTTTTTTATGGTCATGGCTGCTGAAAGCTTCTTGTTCTGGTGGCCCATGAGTTTCTGATCATGGTTGGTCCCAACAGTAGTACCAGCCATCATCCAAGAATAAGACCTTCTCTCTTGGTGGGAATATGGTCTGTTGTACTTCCTTTGGATCTTGTTACCCATATTTCTTCCTGGAATAGACCAGGCTTCTTGGAGGTTACAGGTAGTCCTCATATAGTGACTGCCTCATTTAGTGACTATTCATAGTTAACAACCATGATGAAAAAGTAACTTTATGACCAATCCTTGCATTTACGACCTTTGCAGGTTTATAAAACAAAAGAAAACTGAAGTAAGCACAGTTGTGGTTTTATTTAATGACCAAGTTGCTGGTCCCAGTTGTAGTCGCCAAATGAGGGCTACCTGTATTTGTATCACACACAGAAAGTACCTTGTGACGACCCTCTAGTGGTTGTTGGATGCATCCGGAAGTCCTCCTGATGTTCCAAACTAATCTGCATCATTATCATCAATATTCCTTCACATTCTATTACATTGCTCCTACATCAACATAGCATACTATACATAGATTCAGATATTTCTTTGTACCCTTGCTGTGACTAGAGTAGTTTTGGCTCAGCGACAGAAAGAGACTGGCCCAAGGTCACTCAGAGTTGGTGAATTTCATGACTGAGTAGAATGGAGTTTTGAACTCTTGTCTCACCAATTGGAGTTTTGATATTTACACCTTGCTTGTATTACGCTGATGCCAATGAAACTGAGAATAAGGTTACTATTTGACTTGGTTTACATTGCATGAAGGCATGACTTACTTAATCATTGCTTATTGTTAGGATCACACTGAGCTATAAACTGTGATTGCCCAGGCACGGTTTCTGTGATGATGCAACATGCTAAGTCAAAATCAAACTCATATTGTGTGGATTCATATTTCTCCTTTAGAATGAAAGAAGTTGAGAAGTTGAATAGAACAGGACCTCTCACTCTTGGAGAGCAGTGGGCCCTGAGGTTACTCACATTTCATAAGTCCTGAAACCACTTCTGTTTCCATGCGCTTTTGGCCCTTAGAATGATTGTGGGCAACCACTGAGCTATGTGTATGGATTGTTTAAATAACGTCTTGATGTTTCCTGTGCAGTTTTCACAGTCTGCAAAGAGAAGAAGAATATATAGAGATTGTTAATAAAGAAATGAGGTTGGGGAAACTATCCTTTGATTGACATTTGACTGTTCCTAGAATAGGTCTTTATAAATAGAGTTTTGAAATATGAGATTGAGGGTCTTTCCCCAGCGCTGAGCAAAAAATGCTTTCCCCTGGTTCTTGGGTCAGCAGAAAACTGTGCCAGCATGAAATGTGCTGCTCCTGTTGCCAATTCCTGTCCCATTTCTCTTGCTTCTGTTCCCAGTCACTGCAGTCATCAGTCTTTTGTGCTTGGTAATGGGTGAGTGAGCCCAGTGGATTTTAGATACCTTGAAGCTGTCCCTTGGATGGTGTGGGAATCAGGGGAAGATGCTACTTTAATACTGGTATAGCTCAGGACTCCTTAAGTCTCACTCAAGCGTTGGGGACAAGATGAAGGCACTATCATGGGGACATGGCAAGAAAAAAAATGTTGCTAGAATATGTTTCTGCTGGGTTAGGGGCAAGCCCTGGGAACAACCCAATTTCTGGGGAAAAAAACTATTAGAAAGAGATGCTGGTTCCCCACAGTACACATAAGCAGGCCAGTTAAAGACCCTGCTGTTGCATTCACACAACTTGCTAAGCTTGATTAGGTTTTGTTTTGTTTTTTTAATGTACATGTGTGGCCTACTGTGTTGTGCCAAGCTCCCCCTTTTTGTTGATTCACTGTATTGTGTGAACTTTGAAAATGGGTTAAATCAATAATAGGCTAAATGTGTTGTGTGAACTCACCCAGATTCTTAGCTGGGCGGAACATCAACCCATAAAGCAGAGGTCAGCAAACTTTTTGTAAAGGGCCAGATCCCACCCCTCCTCTGTCTCTGCAGGCGCAGCTGGCAGATGTGCAGGCCAGGCGGTACAGTAGCTATTGGAAGGTGCCAGCCCACCAGCAAGAAAGCTGCTGATAGGCTTCTGCTGCCCAGGACACCACAATCCCGCCCCCTGCCCCCTTGACTGAGGCTCAGACCTGGTGATCTGCCACCTACCTGTCCATTCTTAGCTTGTGGGCCATATAAAACAGGTGTTGGGCCAAATTTGGCCCGTGGGCTGTAGTTTGCTGACCCCTGCCATAAAGGAACTAAGTCGTTCTTCACCTTCATTTGAGGAGTTACACCTTCTGTATTTTTCTCCCTGCAGAGACTCTCTGTTCCATGGGCATGGTTCAGCAGCTGGTGGCTCTGGTCCGATCTGAACATAGTACCTTCCATGAGCACGTCCTGGGAGCACTGTGCAGGTATCAACAGGAGTGAGGTTCAGAGAACTAGAGGGAGGATTTGGATGTGGGGGAAATGTTCCTGGCAGAACAGGTGAAGGGTTGTCTGTGTAAAAGAGGTAGCACAAGGAAGGGGAAGACTAAAAAGCCGAGGATAAAATTGTAAGTGCTGCAGGAAGGCCTTCCCTGTTACTCCCTCTGTTCACCAGTCATGATGGTGATTGCCCTCAAGGGAACCACTGAGGTTTCTCAAAATCCAGATATTGCTCTAAATCAATGTTTTTCAAACTTGGCAACTTTAAGATGTGTGGACTTCAACTCCCAGAATTCTATGTATTGTCGAAGGCTTTCACGGCCGGCATACAATGGCTGGTGTGGGTCTTCCGGGCGGTGTGGCCGTGTTCTGGAAGTTTTGTTTCCTAACG